AAGCGATGCCCCTTTTAGGTCCTCCGGACCTAGGGTGGTTGGCTCCTTCCCCATCCTAGATATGGTGGTTGCAATACTGTCGCATCCCATGATGCATCTGGCACTCTATGCGAGGACAGGGACATATCATTGGGTCAGTCCGAGTACGGATACTCGGCCAAGCTCCCCAGGACACTACAGTGTGTATAGACAGGGATCAAATAGCGTCTACACGGTACTCAGGCCCTAACAGCTCGGCCATTAACCTATAGGAGGACAGGGAACACGAAAACGAGGCAGACTGGGACCGCTTACTAGGCCCCGAAGGGTTTTTAAAGCCCGCTAAGCTCCGTGTAAGTGGCCGCATAAATTTATTTACAGCTACAAAGGAAGACTTCATAGCCTGTTTTGTAGGTCAGGGTTGCCTGAGGAGGGTAATGAAGTAATGCCTCGCTTACATGTTCACCATACTCGGTATAAGAATTCAAATTTTCTCTCCTTTCTCTCGCCTACGACCATACCACAGGAGAACACCGGTTCTCGTCTGATCACCGAAGTTAAGCCCTGTCGGGCGGGGTTAGTACTTGGATGGGTGACCGCCTGGGAATACCCCGTGTTGTAGGCTTCTTCTTTTCATTTATTTTTCCTGGAATTTTTTCATCATTTTTGCTGTTTTACCCCTAGCTGGGATGTACCTCTGCTGTCAGTTGCCAAGTTACGCCGAATTATTCTTCGAAGCAATCAAGTTGTCGGGTAATTTTTTTTCACAATAATATAGCTTGGACGTAGAACGCGCGTTGGTTCGAGAGCGCGCGGTAATGTTCCATTTTGCTCTGTGACTTCAAATCACCGCTTGTGACATCACTTTTTCAAATCACAGCTTCTACAAGTCTACGTTCGCCTTTAAGTGCAACTACAGGCCGAGAAAACGGCCGCGAACGCCACACAAACGAGCCAAAAGGCCATATACAACTTGCCCTCGATCGAAAACACAAGACCGAGTTCGTTAATAGTTGTTATTAACGGTCGACAGTTTAAATGAACCGCCGAAACCAGCGCCTTGCAGTAAAGACCAACGAGAGAAAGGGCGAGTTCAATATATACAAGCAAACAAGTACTGATTGAAAGCTGTACTCACGGTATAGACGGCTGTTTATGATCCTGCTTGCTTGCTTGCTTGCTTGCTTTTTTTCAACCGTCGACCATCCTCTTTCTTGAACATACATCTCTGGCGACTTTCACTTCACGTTTCCTTTGAGAGAGTAAAACATTTCAGTCTCTACTCTGCTCTACTGAGCGAGCTGCTTTTTAATAACATGCTAGCTTAGCTACAAATCAACTTCAACATATTCCAAGATCATTTACCTTCTTTCTTGGTCCCCGGAGACTTCTTTCTCTCCGTGATTTATCGATCCATCCATCCATCACCTGTATGAGAAACAATCACACGCGCGCACGTTACCAGTTGTATCATTGGCGCGCGCGTTTTTAAATAACCTGTGGACCGCGCTAAATACAATAATTACTACAAAACCGGGGACTAGCGCGAACGCAGGTCCCCACTACCAGAAATTATACGCTCGAGTTACCCACATTTGGGGTAATCGCAAGGGTCAACCCAATCGAAGTGCAATGAGAGGGCCTCACCTTGAGAGGACTGCCTCCTTGATCACAGTGCCTCCCGCGTCAGGTAAGTTTTTTTTGTATTTGAGGTGAATGGCCGGCCCCCAGTAGGGTAGTGCAATGCCGCCAGACTTAACGTCTAGTACCAAACACACATCAAACGGGGCAGTGCACCAGCACAGAAACTGACTGACTGGGGAATTGAACCCCGCCCCTACATACACAGTACAAGACAAACAACTACAGGACAAACATCTACAGGACCAAAGAACAAGTTAAAAGACGCGGGCACTGACTAAAAACAATAACTAAAACTAAAAACACACCCACTCAAAACCACTCCAAAAGGAGGAAACTAAAACTAAACTGAAACTAAACTGGCGATAAACTAAAACGGACACCAACAGTCCGGAGACACACTCTCAAACAAGAAGGAGACCAAGTACAACCAACGAAGGCGACCAAGAACCCATAGACACACTCACTCAAGCAAAAGGAAACCCAGTACAACCAACAAAGGCGACCAAGAAACCCAAGACACACTCACTCAAGCAAAGAAAATTCCCCAGCCACCGACGACCAAGGAAAGCAAGACACACTCACTCAAGCAAAAGGAAACCCAGTACAGCCAACAAAGGCGACCAAGAAACCCAAGACACACTCACTCAAGCAAAGAAAATCCCTAGCCACCGACGACTAAGGAAAGCAAGACACACTCACTCAAGCAAAAGGAAACCCAGTGCAACCAACAAAGGTGACCAAGAAACCAAGAGTCACACCCACTCACTCGAATACAAGAAGACTAAAGACGAAAGTAAAAGGAGCCCTCTGACACTCTCCCAACAACGCCATTTGCTCCCCACTGCCTATGAAAATAACGCTGGCGACGAGGTGACCTAAACCGCTTAAAGAAAATGCAAAGGTGGCATTTTGCGCGAGCTTTGACAACCTCAATCAGGGGGAGAGCCCCCGGCTGAACATCACGGAAACGGTAATCGTTACGGGCCCTCCATAAGAAGTACTTGGCTAGATTCAACAAGTAAACAAAAACACGCGGGACCACAGCAAGTTCAGAAGCAGAGAAGCCAAAGAGAACGTGACGGCACAACAAGGAAGGACACAGGGACGAGGCACGAAACATGAGAGATTGAATCCAGCCAAGGATGCTCTGAGCCAGAGCACATTCAAAAAACAGATGAGACGGAGTCTCCGGAGAGCCACAGAAACAGTTTGGATCGTAGTCATACCCAAAGGAGATGAGCCGATCCGCCGTGTATAAGACACCGTGCGCCACCTGCCAAGCCACATCAATGGCAGATCTGTCAACAGGACAAAAGCTAAGCTGCCTCCAGGTGGTAGACCAGTACAGCGGACCATACAGGGGGAGGAACTTCTCCTCACAGTGGGGAGGAACAAAGTTGACAGATAACAAATACAAGTAGGCAGACTTGGCAGACATTGAAGACGCCAAAGCAAACAGATGGGGGTCCGACGAGGCCATAACCAAGGCCGCCCGCGACCGAGAGAAAGAGCCATCAACAGCGCGCCAGGCTAACAGTAGCGACTGATAGAACGGAGGGAGAGCACGAGGGCTAAAGGCAAAAGGCTGAGAAAACACGTCCACCGGAGAGGAATTAAAAACGGAGTAAAACCAGAAATGCACAAAAGCAGACCAGCTGGATTGCGTCGTGACAAAACGTCTGACCCACTGAACCAACAAAGACTGAACCTTCAATTTAACATCTACCACCGAGAACCCACCTACTGAGGGAGCCTGGACAACCACAGCTCGAGCAACAAGATCCTTCTTGCCTTTCCAGAAAAAACTGAAGACCAGCCTCAGCAGTTCCCCAAAGACCCAGGGGGGCATGTGGATGAGAGAAGCCACATACCACACCCTGGACAGAGCTAGGGCATTGATGACAAGGGCACGGCCCTGAAAGGACAAGATTCGCTGACGCCAGGAAGAGAGAGTGTTCTCAACCGCAGCAATGCGGGGCTTCCAATTGTCATCATCAAGGTTCCCGGGGCCCAAAAAGACACCTAAGACTTTGATCTTCACCGAAGACCATTCAAGAGCAACCGGAGGGTCTGAACGGTTTACCCAAGGACCAAGCCAAAGGCCCTTGGACTTAGACAAATTAAGCTTAGAGCCAGAGCCGCGCTCATATGTGTCATAAACAGCAAAACAGGCACACGAATGGCCTCATCAGTACAAACGACCAGTGACGTGTCATCAGCATACTGAGAGATCGGGGACAAAGGGTCTGACGACCCGGGGAGACAAAGGCCTTTGATACGTGGATTAGCACGAATATTACACGCAAGCACTTCAGCAACGAGAACATACAGGAGAGGAGACAGAGGGCAGCCCTGACGGACGCCACGAGACAAAGAAAAGAAAGGAGAAAGATAGCCATTCACATTAACAGAACTTTGGACGCCAGTATAAAACAAGTTAACCCACTTAAGAAAAGAAGTGCCAAACCCCATTTTCCGAAGAGTGGCATACATAAAGGACCAATCCACCCTATCAAAGGCCTTCTCCTGATCAAGAGACAAAATGACCACAGGAGAGTCAAACATAGTGGCATAAGATACCACATCACGGAGAAAAGCGACATTCTCGCCGATGTATCTCCCCGAACCCCCAAGTCTGGTCCTCAGCGACCACAAGGTGAATGACCTTTAGCAACCTAGCTGCAATAGTGCGCGCAGCCAGCTTGTAGTCCACATTCAAGAGGGATATGGGACGCCAGTTCCGCATATCCAGACGGTCCCCTTCTTGAAAGATAACGAAATGACGCCCCGACGCTGGGAGAGAGTCAGGGAACCAGCAGTATAACACGAGTTAAGGACATGAACGAGGTCCTGCCCCAGAACATGCCAAAACTTAAGGTAGAATTCAGCTGGAAGACCATCCAAGCCCGGAGCCTTACGCTTGGCCATCCCAGACAACGCCTCAAAACACTCCTCAACAGACAACAAACCTTCACAAGACTCCGATTGAATAGTAGACAAAGATGACTCGATGTTATCAAGCAGGGACTCCTGCGCGTCAGCATCAGTGGGCTCAGCAGAAAAGAGGGATGAATAGAAAGAAGAGAATGAACCACAAAGGTCCTCAGGGGACACAACAATTCGACCATCAACAGTCCGCACTGCAGCTATGTGGCGATCCACCCCACGCTTTTTCTCCAAACGGAAAAAATAGGAGCTGGAGGATTCGCCCTCCTCAATCCAGCGCGCCCTTGCACGCACTTGAGCACCCCTTGCCACCTCTACATCAAGCTCAGCCAGCTGTTGCAGTACCGACTGGTACGGCCCAACCAGAGACAGGATTCCACCATCAACACGCTCCTTAAGATGAATGGCAAGCCTAGAGAGAAGGTCTCTCTTCATCGCAGTGTCAGATGACTTCGAGCAACAATAGTTGATAGAGAGACCCTGATACGAGATTTGCCAGCCTCCCACCACTTAGCCAGGGAAGGAAAACGAACCTTCTGGTCACGCCAGCGGGACCAGAAGTTCTCAACCTGGCGAACATATTCCACCTCCTCCAAAATGGAGATATTCAACTTCCACAGCCCGGGACCCGGGGGGACGACATCCGGAACAGTGACACACAAAAGAACAGCACAATGGTCGGAGAACGGACACGGAACAATTTCACACGACGAAACAGAAGGGACCCACACATACGGACAACCAACGAGATCAATACGAGAGGAAACAGAGCCGTCCGGACTCATCCAGGTGTAACCAGAGGAGGAGGGGTGTAAGTAACGCCAGGCGTCAACGACACAACATTCATCAAAGAGCCAAGAGAGAGTAGAAGAACTCTCCCTAGAGGTGTCAGAAGCCACAGATCCCGCACGATCAAGCGAACGATCAAAAACGGTGTTAAAATCCCCACACACAACTGTGGGGATTGCAGGATCAACCCAAGAAGGAACCAGCTCAAGAAATTGGTCTCTTGCAGGATTGCGATTGGGGGCATACAAGGAGACTACACGAAACAATTTGCCATGAAAGCGAAATTCACACAACACAAAACGACCAGCATCATCAAACGAAGAATTGACAAGGGACAGACAAGGACGAAAAAGGATGATACAACCACACGACTTTTGAGAACCAGGAGACGCAACAGAGTGAAAGCCAGAAGAACGAAACCAGGACTGACACTCGACATCACTAACACAGTGAGTCTCTTGAAGACACACAACATCCGGGACCACAGAAAGGGAACGCAACCACTGCAAGAGACCGGCACGCTTGTCAGAATTCCTAATACCGTTGGTGTTTAGCTGGATAATAGATAAAGCCATTTTAGTGAGTAAGAATCACCTCGGTTTGGAGCCCTTAGAGCCACTAGAGCTCCTGGGAGGCTTCGGCACATAACCAAGAGAAGGTGGCAGAGCATGAGAGCCAGTCGAGGTGGAACGAGTGGCAGAAGGCGAGCGTTTAGGGGACCGACTGCGGCTGCGATCACGATCAACAGCAACGGGCCTAGCAGCGCCCGGAGAGACGACAACAGCTGGCTTCTTTTTGGAGGAACGAGGGGGGGGCGCCAGAGGCGCAGCAAAAGAAACACCATCCACAGAGTCGACAGAATCAGAATCTGGGTGAGAACGTTTTTGAGATTCAACCTCCAATTCCATATCGCTGTTGTTTTCCCGACCAGCGAGAACACCCAGACCTATGTATTCACTTTCACTACTAGATGTTTTTGCATTATTACTAACATTGCTATTGCCATTACTAATATATGTCATTGCATTACTACTAATATCATTATTGCCACTAATAGATGTCTTTGCATTACCACTAATATTACTAACAGTACTATTGCCATTACTAGTAGATGCCTTTACATTACTACTATGTACTTTTCCATTACCAGTATCAATAACATTAACATTGTCAATAACTTTAGAATCTTTCTTTTTATTCAACTTTTGTTTAATTTTACCCAAAACCCGCTAGAAGCGCCACTGGGGGGGCCCTGGCCAGGGGAAGACGGGGACGCGGGGGGATCAAGAACAGCAGACTCGATAGTAGCCCCTTGCAAAGAGTCAACGTCCACAGACGGAGCAGGCGATGAAAGTAGGGACTGGCTAGCCAATTCGTCAAGTTGATTATCTCGGCTATCCAAAGTTGAAGACGGAGTAGGGCCAACAGAAGGGGTTTGCTCAGAGTCGGACAAGTCCACATCGGCATCCAAAGCAGTACCAGTGGCAGATGCATCAAGGGCAGAAGACACAGTCACCCCGTCCAAGGAATCTGCGTCAGAGCGAGGCGGGGCATCAGTGGACTCAGACGGAACGGCAGCAGCAGCGCCAGCAGCAGGGACAGAACGGCCAGCGGCTTCAGCAGGGGTGGGGTCTGACTCATCCAGGACGGAATCACGATCGTGGTAATTAGCAAGCTGAGGGCAATTACGCGAAAAGTGACCCTCAAGCCCACATCGAAAACACTTATTCCGGTGGGGGCAATTCCGCGCAATATGGCCAGGTGCATCGCATAAGTCGCACACCTGCTGCTGACCAACATAAGCGATTTTAACACGCACTTCACCAATAATCATGTGCCGCGGGATAGCTTCGCGGCGGACCATACGCACAATGCGAACCCCATCCCCAACAGACGGCATATGCGCCCAATGACGAAACTTGACTTCTTCAATTACCCCGTATGCACCCAACGCTCTACGAATGGGGTCCTCAGGCCCCTCAACAGGATAATTGTATACCAGAACATTTTGCGCTCGAGGACCACCTCCCCGGACCGCGCACTGAACGCCATTAATATTTACTGCCTGGTGACTAATGACCTCTTGTTTACTTGCCTCGACAGCGAAGGTTACTTTGGCGACAGACCCGATAAACTGAACAGCGTGAATTTTATGCCGCGCGAAATGCTCAACAATAAATGTACTGACATCTTTGCGCTCATTAGAACGAGCTAGCTGCGAAACATCCAGACTGACGGTGCGGCGGAATGCGCGCAGAGCCATGACAAGAAAACGCAAAACAACGAAAAAGAAAAAGGAGAGACCCCAACGGGGTTAAGCCCTGACGGGCGGGGAAGAAAAAGGGACGGGCGACCAAAAAAGTGACCCACCAAAAAAGAAGACCACAACCCAAAGTTAAGCCCGGATGGGCAAAGCCCAAGCGGAAGACGGGCAACCACCCAAGACCACCAGAGGCGGGACCGGGGGGGCAACCCAAACGTACAAAAAAGCAAAAACTTACAAAATCGACGACCGTAGCCTCAAGAGCAGCACTACCAAGTAGGCCAAGATAAGGAAAACCACAGCACCAAAGAAGTCCGAAGTCACGAAGACTGGAACACGCTTGGAGATGCAGCGACACTCACCACTTGAAAAAACGCAGAAATTGTACCACAAGGGTAGGGCTTCCGCGTCGCGAAATCAAGCGTCAGGTAAGTATGAAAAGCTAGGACCAACGGCCGGCAGCGGAAAAACTGCTTTCCTCTTAGGGCCCTTGT